TATTGAAAAAGACTTATTGAGTTTGGTACTGGCCTTACAACATTTTAATGTGTATGTTGCATACAACGTATTGGAGACGGTTGTGTATACTGATCACAACCCTTTTGACATTTTGGAAAGATTTAAGGACAAGAACACCAGACTATTTTATTGGAGACTTGTGTCACAAGCATTTAATTTACAGATTGTACACGTTGTGGGTTATAAAAATGTTATTGTGGATTTAAAAGAAAATGTGTATATAAGATTGTAATGGTATTGTTCAATTTTATATATGTATTTGGAATTAGTATGAAATGAGTAACTCTAGATTAATGCGTAATGGATTTAGTAATAATGGCGTTAAGATTTAGAAAAAAGAATGCCATCTTTTCATAATGGTTCATTTTCTTTTTCTTAAGCGGAGACGTATTGCAAAGTTGGGTAGAGTACTTGTGAATTGGAAGGCAGGATGTTGGAACTTGTTTGTGAAAAATGACAGGGGGAAGTGTGTGTGGTCCCTTTAAGATGTGATGTGCTTTTCTAAGCTTGGAGATAAAAGAAATGTCTGCAAGAAATTGCAGATGCACAGACAGTTCTGAAATTGAAACATATATATCAATTCGCTGTGTGGTTGGCAACCTTAGGCTTGTTTTGATGTTAAGGCAACAAGCTTGAATACCAGCCAAATAATTTAAACCAGGTACTTAGACACTGAAAACCAGCTGAATTTAAATCTGATGGTGTTGACAATCCTATTATAAGAAAATTAACAGGTCATCAAGTACATATAAGAAGAGGGATTTTGAAAATCAGTGTGAGAGCAAACTGCCATTGGAAGAGTAAAACTCTGGCTCTCTCAGAAATCATTAAGCTCTCTGCATAAGCACCATCTAAAAGTTCTATAGTACTCTTAGCTAACATTCCTGACACAAGGATTTGATGAAGAAAGAATTTCTGAAGAACAATAGTGGTAAAGGCACAAAACATTCTGGAAGATGCAACATGACTGCAGTTTTGAGAATCTAAGTTTTAATTTACTTTTTCTTATTAATTTGGTTCATATAAGTTGGACTTATATTTATTGGAACAGCACACCATTAGAATTTTGTTTTATTTGGGAATAATTAGTAGTTGTTGGAATTGTTTCATTCATGAATAGTTCTGTTAATTTAATCACTGTAAGAGTTAGATAGATAAATTGTTACTTGTTGCTTATAAGGTGAATATCAAGGTGTTCATTTCATCTAACCATCTCCTCTGTAACACTACTGAGAACTTAAAACACTCTCACTTGCTGTGAAACCCAGCGCAAACTTACATCATTGCCTCTTATACTATAAACAACAGTGAGAGCTTACTGCATTTCCTCTTAAATTGTGAACCTCAGTGTGAGGGAGATACAGTAAAGCCCACTACCAGCTTGTAATGCAAAATGTAAAGACTATGCTTTTTTAAAAATTCTGTGGAGTTTTTCTTGAGAACTATGGACTGAAATGAGAAAGAACCTGCTTGAAAAGAGATTGAAAGAGTCGTTCCAATTTCAAAAGCAAGTAACCTGACACCCATTGCATGCATCATAAACAACTGTTTGAACAATCATTAATTGAAGAGCTGTGGATGATTTGAAGCTGAGGGGTGTACTGAAGCAGTTTTTGCTAGCCACAAGAATTTGATCTATCTGTGGATTAGTGACCAGTTACCAATGATAGAACTTTTTGCCAGCCAACTATTGTGTGATTGGTTCTCAGGTAACTGAACAGCTTGGAGGTGGGAACAAGTTACAGAGAGAAGTGTTCGGTTCTTCCGCAGGTCGGGAACAGTCTCTGTTCTTTGCAATTAAAACTCATAACAAACCTGCAGATAACTAGTTTATCCTTCCTGAAACATTGCTATAAACTATGATAAGTCCGAGACTCATCCTCATTTAGTCATGCAATACACAAGACAGCCTTCAGCCATTCTGCCTGTACCATCAAATCTACCCTAGTGCCACCATCAAGCACTAGGCTCATAGCCTTTAATGTTATAACATTTCAAATGCTCATCCAAATACTTTTTAAGAGTTGTGAGGCTAGTTGCATTCCAGACACCCACCATCCTCTGGGTGAAAGCATTTTTCTCAAATTCCCTCTAAATCTCCTGCGTTTCACATTGAAATGATGCTTCCTTGTTATTGATCTTCCAACTAAGGGGGACAGTTGCTTTCTCTCCACCCTGTGCATGCCCTTTGTAATTTTGTGCCCTTGGTCAGGTCCCCACCTCAAGCTTCTCTGCTCCAAAGAAAACAACCTGAGCTTCATAGCTGAAGTGTTTCAACCCAAGCAACATCCTGGTGAATCTCCCCTACACCCCCTCCAGTGCAATCACATCTTTTCTGTAGTAAAAAGACCCTAGAGCTACACAGAGTGCTCCAACTATGCCCTAACCAAAATCCTATACAGCTCCAATATGATATCCCTGCTCTTTTAATCAATTCCATTGCTGGTAAAGGCGACTATCCTAGGTGCCTTCTTAACGAACCTATTATCCTGTTCTGCCATCTTCAGGGATTTGTAGACACACCCCAAGATCGCTCTGTTCTTTTGAGCTTCCTAGTGTCCTGCCATTTATTGAGTACTCTCTTGTGTTACTGCTTCCAAAATGCATCACCTCACACTTATCTGTCCCTTCTGCTTGTCTGTGGTCTATATTCCTTCATTCCTTGCTTATTCATGTGCTAATCTGAAAGACCTTTAAACGCCCCAATCATAAGGCCTCCACCACCACTCCTGGCAGCACGTTCTGGATTCCTACCACTCTGTGTGTTTAAAAAAATTGCCCCTTACACCTCCTTTGAACTTTCCCCCTCTTACCTTAAATGCATGCCCTCTAGTATTAAACTTTTCAAATCTGGGAAAAAGATTCTGACCGTCAATACTATCTATGCATCTCATAATTTTACAAACTTCTCTCAGGTCTCCCCTCAGCCTCAGCTACTCCAGAGAAAACAACACTAATTTGTCCAGCCTCACCTTATAGCTCATACCCTCTAATCCAGGTAGCATTCTCTTATGCACCCTCTCTAAAGCTTCCACATCCTTCCTGTAACATGGTGATCAGAACTGAAAGCAATACTTGAAGTGTGGCCTAACCAAAGTTTTATAAAACTGCAACATGAGTTCCTGACTCTTGTACTCAAAGGCAAGCAAGCCATATGCCTTCTTTACCACCTTATCAATTTGTGTGACCATTTTCAAGGAGCTTTGGATTAGGACCTCAAGATCCCTATGTTCGTCAATGCTACCATTAACTGTATATTTTTCTTTAACATTTGATCTCCCAAAGTGCAATACCTCACCTGCCTGGATTAAACTCCATCTGCCATTTCTGAGCCCATATCTGCAACTGATCTATATCCTGTTGTATCCTTTGACAACCTTTTACACCATCCACAACTTCCCCAATCTCTGTGTCATCTGCAAACCTACTAACCCACCCATTTACATTTTCATCCAAATCATTTATATTAATCATAAACAGCAGAGATCCCAGTACAGATTCCTATGGAACACCACTAGTCACAGACCTCCAGCCAGAAAACACCCTTCCACCACTACCCTCTGTCTGCTATGGGCAAGCCAATTCCGAATCCATGCAGACAAGTCATAATCTTCTGGATGAGACTACCATGAGGAAACATCTTGTATCTTTCACAAATCAAAGGAAGCAAGCATGGCTGAAGCAAAGTACTGGCCAGCAAATGAATCATAATGATCACTTTTAACAATACAACCTGGGAACAAAGACTGTCTTCCAATCTTTCTACTCTATCCATAACCTATTTAATCCTGTCTGGCTATGTGTGTAAATGGCAGGTTTATAAGGGATCAGAGATTTAATTAGTAGTATCATACGCCAATGATGTATAACTGTTTACCTGTAGCTACAGTCTAATTTCTTGCATAAATAGTGATTCTTGTTTAGTACAGAAACCATGCTTTATAATCAAGCTGGGTCTGAACATCAGGTAAATTGGAGAACTTTGCAGATTTTATAAAAACTTTTGTAACGATTCTGTTAATAGTGAGGCGTGATTTCCAGTGTGGTACCCCAGTGAGGTGTAAGACCAGGTAAAGTCACCATCGTCTTACCTAGCTGCTCTCTCTTCAGAGAGAGATAACTGGTGATAGTTTAACTTGAGAGTCACCGTGCCTCAGACCAGGCGAGAGGTTGAAAAGAAAAGTGCTTAATGGTACCCTCAGCTAGTGCGGCGATTGAATCCACACTATTGCCATCACTGTGCATTTCAAACCAGCTGTCCAGCAGACTGGACAACAGGACGGAAAGAGATAGAATGGCGATGTCATTACCCAGATAGCTGTGCGGCGGCGAACTACCCCCATTGCCGAAGAGCCGTGCGCAAGCGCGGTGCTGGAGTATGCGCAGTGGTAAGAACAGTGAGGCAGTTGGCACCGTGTGGAAACGTTTCATCTTCAGGGACTGGTGAGCGGTGGAGCTTTTCCCTCATGGGGAACCTGGCTGAGGTGAACGGCTGCCGTTTGATTTGGGGCCGTCGAGGACAATAAATAAATACAACCTTTGGGTGAAGTCACTGGGGCTTGAGATCTCCAAGAGGGTCGTGAGAAGCCAGCTGGAAGTTACAAAGAGACAGAAGAAAACAACTGCAGAATCAGCAATCGCTAGGTTTTCCCCCTTCATGGTCCGCCTGGTGAATGCCATTTTTAACCTGCCCCAAGAGCAGGCAAAGCCAATGACGCGGGGGCGGGGTGCGAAGCCACGAGCTGGTGGGCGTGGCCATAAGCTGGGGTTTCCTTCCAGGGGCTGGGGGCGGAGCCGCGGGTTGTGGGAGCAACGCCTCAGGGTAGGGGCGGGGCCGTGGGCAGTTGGGCGGGTCCTTGTTCTGGGGCTCCCCTTATTGTGGGTGGGGGCGGAAACGCGGGCGGTGGGTGGGGCCTCATTCTGGATATCCATCCTGGAGTTGGGGGCGGGGCCACGGGCACGGGAAGCCCCGCGTTGGGCAGGGCCAGTATAGGTTGGCGAGGCCATGTGTAAGGAACCCCCGCCTGGGAGCCCCTTGGCAGGGCTTTGTGCAGGTAGATGTGGTCTCGGGCAGAGGGTTCCCCTACATTAGGGGTGGGCTTGGAAATGGGCGGGGCCATGCCTGATACCCAGTGCAGCGTGTCATCCGTAACTAGGCAACTGACGTGCGCTAATTCGGGAAAGCTGGGTCTTGTTGCTGACACGGACGCACTGCCAAACATAAAATAGGAGCAGGAAGGATACCGTTTGAGTCTGCGCCTTCAGCCATTATGATCCTGGCTGATTCATCATCCCACTTTTCCCCCATAACCTTTGATCCCTTTAGACCCAACTCTTTCATAAAATATTTTGGCCCGGACTGCTTTCTGTCGTAGTGAATTTCACAGGCTATCACTCTCTGGGTGAAGAAAGTTTACCTCAGCTCAGTCCTGAATGGTTTACCCTGTATCCCACTTAATCAGGAACATCCTGCACCTACCTTGTCCAATACTGTTCAAATTTTCAAGGTTTCCCTCTGATCACCTCTCTAATATTAACATTAGAGCGAGTAGGAGGACTTTGTTGCCCTTTGTTCAGAATGGAGACATTTTGCCTATCAAACTTTATTTGCTTTTCAGACCCAGTGTCTTATTCATGAGGCAGATCAGCAGCGCAGAAGGAAAGAAAAGGAAGCAGAACCTGATCTCTGCATCTCACGGGATGTCCTGCTCCATGTGCCCAAAAGCTCTGTTCAGTGACGTGAAGACCCAGGGCAGAAACAACCCAGAGTAGATGTCGTCCTTGAATCAAGAGACTGCTGACCTCAGTGCAATGTGCAGCAGAGAGTAGGCATGGTCATTCCTGGGCTAGGAGAAGGGAATGATATGAATTTCTATCCTGGGCTGTCAGTGATAGTTATAAACTCTGCTGCCAAAGGGTTTGAAAGGGTGGATTTACGCACAACAAACTCAAACTGAGAGAAATGTTTGTCTCTTCTGAATGCCTATCACTGGCTCCCAATGATTGAATTTGTAAACTTCTTTTGCAGGATGTTTAAGGATGCTGCGCGGAGATGTCACCCGCTCCCTGCAAATTTCCTAAACTATAAGAGTTTGCTGTGAATGTAGTGCTTCTGACATCATTCCATTTACAAGTTCCAAGAGGAGATTTTCAAATTGAAAAATGAAATTGTTTCAGAGGTGAGTATTTTTGACCATTTGCTTTTAGTTCTGTGTTATTTTATCAGTGAGGTTCCGTGGCTCTCAAGTTTGTGTGATTCCCTTATGTGGAACTGAATCCATATCCATTCATTGTTCTGTTTAACCTTTCTCCTCCCTGATCACCTCTCTGCAGTTGTCTAACTTTCATGATGTTTTGTATTTTACTCTTACTTCTATTGACTGTTTCTAAGTGTGATTTCTACTGCTGCCCATTCATGACATTACCTCAGAGGTAGCAGGAACTGCAGATGCTGGAGAATCTGAGATAACAAGGTGTAGAGCTGAAGAAGGGTCTAAGAAGGCCCGAAACGTCAGCCTTCCTGCTCCTCTGATGCTGCTTGGCCTGCTGTGTTCATGACATAATCTCTACTGCTTTCTGGGGAGAGATATGAAAGGCTTTGTGCCTGGAGGAGGTCACAGAGATACAGATAATCACAACCTAGAAGGAAAGCAGACAGAAATGAGATTTTAAAATTTTGGTGACGCAAAGAACTGTGGATGCTGGAGATCTGAAACAAAGAGTTCTGAAGAAGGGTCACTGGTCTTGAAACATTAACTCTGTTTTCTCTCCATGATCCTGCCAGACCTGCTGAGTTTTTCCAGCAGTTTCAGATTTTGTTTTAAAATGTTGGCCCATTTTAACCTGGAGCCTTTGCTGATTAGTGAACATAGGTTGGTGATGGGTGAACAAGACTTGGTACGAGTTAGCACATTGGGAGCAGAGTCTTTGAGGATCTCAAGATTAGCAGGAGGTTGTGGAAGCCTGGCCAGGAGGGTTTTAGAATAGTTAAGTCTTGAGAGGTAACAAAGGAATGGATGAGAGTTTTTAGCAGCAGATGAGCTGAGACTAGCGTCGAGTTGGATGATGCTACTGAGTGAGAAATAGGCCTTCTTGGTGATGATATGTGTTTGGAAGCTCATCTTGGGGTGAAAATTTCACCATTGCTGTGAATAGTGTGGTTCAACCTTGGATAGTTGACTGGGAGAGGGATGGAGTCGTTGTGAGGGAGTGGAGTTTGTTGCAGGGACTGAAGACAATGGCTTCAGTCTTCCTAATATTTAAATGGAGGAAACTTCTGCTCATCCAGCCCTAAATGTCACACAAGTCAGGACAGTGTGTAACTTGGAGGTGTCTGTGTCCATGTAAATGTACAATACTGGTCCTTCTAGGTGATGGAGTTTGTGGGTTTGTGAGATTCTCTCAATGTTCTGGTTGATTTGTAGATAAATTAAAATCATCAACTTCACCCCTGCCTTTCATTTTCTGTCTCTTTGTGTCTACCTTATCTGCCTTCCCAGAACTGTCAGTGACTTGTAAATGTCCAGACACGTAGCAGGTTGCCTTCCCTGAAGGACTTTTTTCTTTTATTTATTCATTTTATGGGATGTGGGCATCGCTGGTTGGCAGGCATTTATTGCCCGTACCAGTTGCTTTTGAGAAGGTGATGGTCAGCTGCCTTCTTGAATCGCTGTAGTCCACCTGCTGTGAGTTGTCCCATAATGCCATTAAGGAGTGAATTCCAGGATTTTGACTCAGCAACAGTGAAGGAATGCCGATGGCCTAGTGGTATTATCTCTAGACCATTAATCCAGAGACCCAGATAATGTTCTGATGACCCAGGTTTGAATCCCATGGTGGAATTTGAATTAAATTTTAAAAAATCTAGATTTAACAATCTACTGATGACCATGAAATCATTGCTGATTGTCTGAAAAACCCATCTGGTTCTTCAGGGAAGGAAATCTGCTGTCCTCACCTGGTCGGGCCTACATGTGACGCCAGACCCATGGCAATGTGGTTGATTCGCAATTGCCCTCTGAAATGGCCTAGCAAGCTATTGAGTTGTACAAATTTCTAAAAAGTCAGACTGATCACCTGGCATCGACCTAGGCACTGGAAAAGAGGACAGCAGAAACAGCCCTGTTGATCCTGCAAAGTCCTCCTCAGCAACATCTAGGATCTAGAGCCAAACCTGGGAGAGTTGTCTCACAGTCTAGTCAAGCAACAGTCTGACATAGTCATACTCGTGGAATCATATCTCAAAGACAATGTCCCAGACACCACCATCACCATCCCTGGATATGTCCTGTCTCACTAGCAGGACATACCCAGCAAAGATGATGGGACAGTGGTATACAGTCAGGAGGGTGTTGCTCTGGGAATCCTCAACATTGACTCCGGACCCCATGAAGCCTCATGGCTTCAGATTAGACATGGGCAAAGAAAACCCCTGCTGATTACCACGTACCATCCTCCCTCGGCTGATGAATAGGTACTCCTCCATGTTGAACAACACTTAGAGGCAGCACTGAGGATGACAAGGGCACAAAATGTACCCTGGGTGGGGGATTTCAATGTCCACCACCAAGAGTGGCTTGGCAGCAGTACTACTGACTGAGCTGGTTGGGTCCTAAAAGACATAGCTGCTAGACTGGGTCTGTGGCAGGTGGTGAGTAGAACAGAGAGGAAAACATATTTGACCTCATCCTTACCAATCTGCCAGCTGCAAATGCATATGTCCATGACAGTATCTGTAAGAGTGACCACCGCACACTCCTTGTGAAGATGAATTTCCACCTTCACATTGAGAACAACCTCCATCGTGTTGTGTGACACTATCACCATCCTAAATGGGACAGACTGCGATCAGATCTAGCAACTCAAGACAGGGCATCCTTGAGGCGCTGTGGACCATCAACAGCAGCAGAACTGTACTCCAATACAATACATCCCATTCCCATTTATCTCAATCACACCGTCCCTGGTCACACACTACCGTTCACACTCTGCCATTCACACCTGCCCCACGTGCACACTCCCCATTTCCACATGCCCCCATTCACACCTACATGAATTACACAAAGCAGAACAGTAGCACTTATACAGAGTTTTTAAAAGGAATGGATACCCAAAAAGCACAATCTGCCATTACCTCCATGAAAGACCACAACCAGAAGACACAACACAGCCAAACACACTAGTCACCCTACCGTATATCAGAGATGACCACAAGATTACTGAGACCCCTAGGTATCAGGGTGGCCTATAAACCAACAAACGCTTCACCGGAGGCGCACTGACGATATTACCTCATGGGGTAACAATACATCTGCAACAAAACATACCAGCTCGGCAAGCAAAAAATCTACAACATCATCCGTAACCCCAGATACAAATCTTCTCAAAACCTTTAAACACCTACGGGTGCAACATCCTCATACTGGCCTGCAGATGAGAGACAAATGCCATCCATCAGAACGCGACCCGTGAATGACTGTACTTGCTGCACGAATGCCTCAGAAAACACGTACTACCATCAAGCTTAAAATATAAACCACCAATCAACAATCCACGGACAGACTACCAAAAAATGAAGCCCAAGGGATCCAACACACCCCACTTCAATGGACTCCCCAAGGTACACAAGCCAGGGGTCCCCATCAGACCCATTGCCTTACAACAGGCACGTCAATATATAGACTAGCCAAAGAACTACAACGGAAACTGAAATAGTTGACAACACTACCCACTCCATCCACTCCTCCAAGAATTCCTCAACATCGTCAAGGACACCAGAATAGAAGAGGATGCGATAATGGTATCCTTTGATGTAACAGCACTATTTACATCCATAAACATTGACTTAACCAAAGAGACAATTGCCACACTGCTGAACGAATTGGGAAGGCAGGCACCCCACGATACCAACAGCATCAACAAGGACAGCATCCTGAAACTGCTGGATCTGTGCCTCACAACCCACTTTACCTTCAAACAAATCAACACGATCCCCAATATCAGGATTGATTGCAGAAGTCGTAATGCAAAGGTTAGAATGAACAATGCTCCCCACTATCTCACCAAACTCTGGGTCCGCTATGTAGATGACACCCTCATGATTGTCAAACACACCAGACTAGAAGAAACCCACCAACACATAAACAACATCCTCACTGGAAAAAAATTCACAAAAGAAGAGAACAATAACAGACTACCCTTCTTGACATAATGGTAGAACAACGGAAAACTCCAGACTAGCGTATATGGAACAGATACTTAATTACTCCAGCAACCATCCCAACATCCATCAGTGGAGCTGCATCAGGACATTATTCAAAAGGGCTGCAACACACTATCCTGGCAGCAATCTGGAATTGTGCAAAGCAGAACAGGAGCACTTATACAGAGATTTTAAAAGGAATGGATACCCAAAAAGCACAATCTACTGTTACCTCCGCGACAGACTACAACCAGAAGACACAACACGGTCAGACACACTAGTCACCCTACTGTACATCAGAAATGACCATAAGATTACTCAGACTCCTAGGTATCAGGTTAGCCCCAAAACCAACAACCACCCTGCAGCAGCTACTGACAAACATAAAGGATCCCATACCCACAACCAATAAAACTAAATATGCAAAATACCATGCATGCACTGTGAAAACCATCACATAGGCCAAACTGGAAGAAAACTGACAATAAGGATACATGAACAGCAACTAGCCACCAAGAGACATGACCAATTCTCACTGGTCTCAATACACATGGACAAAGAAGGACATAAATTCGACTGGGACATCACATCCATAACAGCATGAGCCAAACAGAAACATCAAGGAATTCCTGGAGGCCTGGCATTCCAACTGGAACTCCATTAATAAACACATTGAACTAGACCCAATATACAAAGCACTGAAAAACAGAACTGGAAGTAATGCCAAACACCTCAGCAAACTGAGGCATATAAATAACAAGTGGGACAGAACACCAATTCATCACCAGAGGCACACAAATCTATAATCTCAAGTTCCACAAATATCCCCATCCGCAATGATGGTGGAGCCCATCATCATGGTGCAAAAGACAAGGCTGAAGTTTTCGCAGCAATCTACAGCGGGAAGTGCCAAGTGGATGATCCATCTCAGCCTCCTCCAGTGGTCCTCAACAGTACAGATACCAGTCTCTAGCCAATGTGATTCACTTCATGTGATATCAAGAAAAGGCTGGAGGCACTGGATACTGCAAAGGCTACAGGCTCTGACAACATTCCGGCAATAATACTGAAGATTCGTGCTCCAGAACTTGCTGCTCCCCTAGCCAAGCTGTTCCAGCACAGTTACAACACTGGCATCTACCTGACAATGTGGAAAATTGCCCAGGGATGTCCTGTATATAAAAAGCAGGACAAATCTAATTACCGCCCCATATAAGTATAAGATACTTATACTTATGATACTCTTGATCATAAGTAAAATGATGGAAGATGTCATCCACAGTGCTATCAAGAAGCACCCGCTCAGGAATAAGTGGCTTAGCTCTGTTTATCACTTGCTGCTTGTGCTGTTAGTCGTGCAAGTAGTCCTGTTTGGTGGCTTCACCAAGTTGACATCTTATCTTCAGGTATGCCTGGTGCTGCTCCTGCCATGCCCTCCTGCACTCTCCATTGAACCAGGGTTAATCCCCAGGCTGAGGAAGGGTCACCGGACCCAAAACGTTAACCTTGTTTTCTCCTTCACAGATACTGCCAGACCTGCTGAGCTTCTCCAGCAACTTTGTTTATGATCCTGATCCCCTGACTTGATGGTAATGGTTGAGTGGGGGATGTGCCAGGCCATGTGGTTACAGATTGTGCCGGAGTATAATTCAGCTGCTGTTGATGGCCCACAGCACCTTGTAGATGTCCAGTCTTGAGTTGCTAGATCTGTTCGAAATCTGTCCCATTTAGTATGTTGATAGTACCACACAACACGATGGAGGTTATTCTCAATGTGAAGGCGGGACTTCATCTCCACAAGGACTGTGCGGTGGTCGCTTTTACTGATACTGTCATGGACAGATGCATCTGTAGCTGGCAAATTGGTCAGGATGAGGTCAAGTATGTTTTTCCCTCTTGTTAGTTACTGCCGCGGACCCAGTCTAGCAGCTACATCCTTTAGGAAATGACAAGCTCAATTAGTAGCACTGCTGTGGAGCGGTTCTTGGTAGTGGACATTGAAATTTCCTACCCAGAGTATACTTTGAGCCCTTGCTATCCTCAGACCTGCCTCTAAGTGTTGTTCAACATGGAATACCAATACATCAGCCAAGGGAGGACGGTACGTGGTAATCAGCAGGAGGATTACTTGCCAGCTGTTTAACCTGAAGGCATGAGACTTCATGGGGTCCGGAGCTAATGGTGAGGACTCCCGGGGCAACACCCTCCCGACTGTATACCACTGTGCTGCCACCTCTGCTGGGTCTATCTTGTTGGTGAGACAGGACATATTCAGGGATGATGATGATGGTGTCTGGGATATTGTCTGTGAGGTATGATTCCGTAAGTATGACTATGTCAGGCTGTTGCTCAATTAGTTTGTGAGACAGCTTTCCCAATTTTGATACTAACCCCCAGATGTTAGTGAGGAGGACTTTGTAGGATCGACAGGGCTGTTTCCACCATTGTCTTTTCCAGTGCCTAGGTCGATGCCAGGTGATTCATCCGGTTTCATTTCTTTGAGACTTTGCAGCGATTAGTACAACTGAATGGCTTGCTAGGTTTTCTTTGAGGGCAATTGAGAATCAACCACATTGCTTTGGATCTGGAGTCACATGTAGGCCAGACCAGGTGAGGATGGCAGATTTCCTTCCCTGAAGGACATTAGCAAACCAGATGCGTTTTTCCGACAATTGACAACGGTTTCGTGGTCATGAGTAGACTCTTAATTCCAGATTTTCTTTCTCATTGAATTCAAATTCCACCATCTGCCGTGGCAATATTCGAACCTGGGTCACCAGAACATTATCTGGCTGTCTGGATTAATAGTCTAACGAGAATACCACTAGGCCATCTCGTTTCCATCGCCCTTACAGCAGTGAATCACTTTGCTTTTTGTGACAATCTAGCAGCTTTCCTGGTCAGTCTTTTTCAAGTGCCAACTCCACAAATTAACAGATTAATTCAGTACAATAATTTGGATAAATTAATTAATTAATGGATAGGTCTGCAACCTAAAACAGACACTTAGTTGTGTGTAACAGTACTTTTGGGTAGCTTTAAAAAAAAATTAAAATGGGGGCAGGGTTCAGGTGAGGGGAGATTTTGAAATCCAAAGAGGAAGGTTGAAACATCTGACCAGTATGGTGACATAATTAAATGTAGCAGAAAAGTAAAGAAAGGGACAAAGAATTTAACTAAAATTGCACATCAGCGATTCGGCATTGCACATGATAGAAAATAGTGTTTAAAAAGTAAATTAATGGTTCTTTATTTGAATACACAAAGTATCTACATTAGGACAGATGAACTTATGACACCAAGAGAGGGAATGATTTCAAATCAATCATTGTCAGGGAGACATCATTACAGGGTGATCAAGGGTTGTAGATAAATATTCAGGGTACATAATATTGCAGGGGAGACAGTCATGATGGGAAAGCAAAAGGGGAAAAAAAGAAAAGGAAAATCCTTTTGGACTCAACTATTGGATCATTTCTGAGGATGTGCCGAGTCCAGATGATATGTCTATATGTAGAATGAGGTTCACCCACACTATGCTTGACACATGCCCCTCCAATTTCCTGATGTATACACTGACAGGAGGAGTTGTAGCACCCAGTGTTCATAACAGAGTTTTTGAGAAATGTTGTGCATGGAAGACAGTACAAAGATGGAGAGGATTGTAGTGGGTGAAGTGTGTTTCACTGATAGAGAGGGCTGTATGAGGTGGAGGAAGTTCCATGGAAATGGTGGAAAATCCAAAGGAGTGGAAGCAAGTTACAGGAAGAGGGACGGACAGCTGCAGGGCTAAATGGGTTACGGTATCAGGAATAGAGGGTCATAGGGGCTGGAGGATGTTGCAGGGCATGAAGATTGCAGAGTCTGAGGAAGTTACATTGAGGAGGTTTGCATGGAGTTGCAACTGTTGTACAGGCTGCAAGAACACAGACACAAGGAGAGTTACAGAGACAAGACAATTTTGTAGGTTAGGAACATTTTTAGCCACTTGATGGAGTAAAGAGAAAGGGAACTTTGTAGGTGCTACAGATATTGAAAAGGTAGGAAGGATTCTAGTAGCAGAAGGAGGTATAGAAGAAGGAGGAAACATTATTGGATTTAATGATATGATGGGAGTCAGGAAAGTTGTGAAGTGCTGGAAAAAGTGGCAGAGAATGGCCTGAATGTTATTACAAAGTCAGTACAAATTGCTGTGGCTGGAGGAGTTTAGAGTTAGGGAGGGGAATATGTGTTGCGGTTGGTTAAAGAGATATGGAGGGTTACAATGGCATGGGGGCAATTACAAATCCATATTGCAGGACCCAAAACTGTTCCACCCACACCCACACCCACACCCACATCCACAGTTGACCATTAACAATTCACAAGATAAAGATCAGCTCCACACATGCACGCATGCACACGCACATAGAACTGACCATTCACAATACGTAAGACAAAGATCAACTCCACATATACACAAAATTGAGTATTCACAATCTACAAAATAAAGATCAGCTCCATGCACACAAACACAGAACTGATCATTCACAATCGACATGACAAAGACCCGTTCCCACCCCCATCCACATGCACGTGCACACACATGTATAAAACTGACCATTTACCATTCACAAGATACAGATCAACTGTACACATACAGACAGATGCATGCAGAACTGATCATTCACCGTCTACTAGGTAAAGACCAGCTCCCCCCACACAAGCACACACACAATGAGGAGGGAAGAGGGCCCAAAAGGCAGGGGTTGGGGGGCAACATGGAGCACTGACGAGCCAGAAGGCCAAATCTCTCCCTTCTTCCGTGCACCCCGCTTTGGCAGCACACCCCTCAACCCCTCACCGACCCTCTGGTTCTCTCTCGGGCCCTGACCACTTTACCTCCCACTTTTCTTGGGTCCCGACCTCTTTCCACACATCTGACCCATTCCTGCATCTGGATCTCTTTTTATCCTGTTCTAAATGACACCTTCTATAAACTCTTTCTCCAGAGTACAAGAAGGGGAGGATTAACAAAGAGCAAACTCAAACCTCACATCGAAATCTGACTGAGTTGCTCCACTCATCAGCACCATCAAATATAATTGGCCTGTTGACATGGAAGGCATTCAGTTGGGGGAATGATTTCCTTGCCTCCTTTTGACCAAAGAAACTTTAGCGAAAGTTCTCCAGAACGCAGACTCTGAGACAAGCTGTAACCAGCCTGACCACGCAAACAGAGAGAAATCAGCTTGTGCTTGACCGTTTTAATTGATTGTGTTGCCTGGAAGCATTGAAGGAACTCTAACACCATGGAGAGTCCTTGGAAGTGCGAGGACTGCGGCAAAAGGTTTGGTTGTCAGTCCCGTCTGGAGTACCACCGACGGGGGCACACCGGGGAGAGACCATGGAAGTGCGAGGATTGTGGGAAAGGCTTCAACCATCGGTACCTGCTGGAGTACCATCGGCGTGGGCACACTGGGGAGAGGCCTTTCAGCTGCACAGTGTGCGGGAAGGCTTTTGCTCAGGCAGCCAATCTGATGTTGCACCAGCGGATCCACACAGGAGAGCGACCATTCGGCTGCAACACCTGCGGAAAGAGGTTCAGTTGCTCGGCCAATCTCATTGGTCACCAGCGGATCCACAGTACGGAGAGGCCATTCACCTGCTCCCTCTGCGGTAAGGGATTCACTGGGTCCTCTGACCTCCTGAAACACCAGCAGACACACACAGACGAGCGTCCCTTCAGGTGCTCCACCTGTGAGAAGCGCTTCCGGCGGGCATCCACCCTCACCACCCACCAACGGATTCACACTGGGGAGAGGCCCTTTGCCTGCCCAGATTGTGGGAAAGGTTTCACTGGGGCATCTGGCCTCCAGTCACACCGGCGGATTCACAGCAAAGAGAAGCCATTCGGTTGCTTGTCGTGTGGGAAGAACTTCAGGCAGTCATCTGCCCTGAATGCACACCAGCGTGTTCACACCGGGGAGAGGCCATTCACCTGCTCTGTCTGTGGGAAGGGGTTCACCCATTCTTCTGGCCTCCAATCACACCAGCGAATTCACACCCAGGAGAAGCCGTTTGGCTGCGCGTCCTGCGGAAAGAGCTTCAGGCATTCAACAGCCCTCAGTGCACACCAACGTGTTCACACCGGGGAGAGGCCATTCACTTGCTCAGTCTGTGGGAAAGGATTCACTCATTCATCCAACCTCCTGTCACACCAACGAATTCACACTCAGGAGAAGCCGTTTAGATGCACTTACTGTGGGAAATGTTTCAGGCAGTCATCCACCCTCACAGCACACCAGCGTACGCATACCGGGGAGAGACCATTCACCTGCCCTGTGTGTGGGAAGCGATTCACACAGTCTGCCAACCTGCTGATGCACCAGCGGACTCACACTGGAGAGAGGCCATTCACCTGCTCGGTATGCCAGAAGGGCTTCACTCAGGCATGCAGCCTGCTCTTGCATCAGCGCACTCACGCTGTGAAAGATGCTTCAGCTGTTCAGAGCATGGGAAGGAGTTCACCCAGTCCTCAATTATCCAGGAAGATGAAACAAAACCACTTGGCTTCTGACTCTTCAAAGCCTGTCCACCATCTACCAGGCACAACTCAGGAGTGTGAAGGAATACTCTCTACTTGCCAGGATGAGTGTGGCTCCAACAACACTCAAGAAGCTTGATACCAACCTGACAAAGCAGCCTGCTTGATTGATAACTCATCCAAAAACATACCGTCCCTCCACCATCAATGCTCAGTAGCAGCAGTGTGCATCATCTACAAGAAGCACTGCTTCTTCCTGACCACCAAGGGCAGATACATGAGAACACGTGCGACTTGCAAGTTCCCCTTGAGCGACTCATTGTCCTGACTTGGAAACATAGCACTGTTCTTTGTGTTGCTCATCAAAATCTTGGTACTCCCTCTCTTACAGCGTTTTGGACAGCAGCAGTTCAAGAAGGCAGCACACAACCATCTTCTCCGTGGCAGTTAGGGATGGGCAATAAATGTTGGCCCAGCCAGTGATGTCCATATCCCCGGAACAAATAAAAAGAAATTGATATATTGCTTCAGGCAGAACCTGTGACAAAGACTGGTTTGAGACCTACTAGGCAGAGGTGACACCTGCCATCGAAGCAAAAAGGCCAGGCCACACAATGTTCAATGTAAATGCATCAGCTAGGACATTGTATTTTTTTGAAGTTACAGACAGTTGTGGGGGATATTCTGATCACAAACGCTGGCTCAGCTTTTATCAAAAAATACCAACTGCAGCATGATGATGTGCTTCTGCTTCTTTCCTAGATACTATCTTTCAAGGCAAAATGTTTAGAAAGGGAGATATGAGAGTTGTTTCCGAACTGTTATTGCAAGTGCCTCTGTGTCTGATAAAAAAAACAATATTATAACATCCAATAGGAGAGTAAAATTGTTCTAGGGCTCTTGGATAAGATAGAATTGTATTGAATGGGACGCCCCACTTAGAATAAAAAAAATGAAGAAAATCCTATTACAAAAGGCAACTGGAACAATTCACCCTGGCTATAGTTCAATGGAATAAACCAAACTGGTATCCATGTACATTTTAATGAATGGAGAGTGTGGATGAGGCAGTTGGTCATCTGTTGCAGATGTGTGTATCTTTGCCATTGAACATTTAAAGAAAACAGCATTTGACTTTCTGGTTGCTGCCTGAGACATCAGAATCATACAGGATGGGGAGAGATCATTGGACAGACAATTTAATATTGTCTCATTTAATGTTTTAAAATCCTGCAGTGAAGCACTGTGTATTAGAAATAAATATGACAGATCAGCTAGGCCAAAGAAACAGGTTCAATTGGGAGGCACCTTTAGGAGTATTCTTCAGAGTGCAGACTGTTTGGAATTTTACTTTTTGCTGTGCTTCAGTGAACCCCATGAACTTTCCAGTTATATAACAAGTTCTGAATTCCTTTCAAGGAATGTTTGTATTATCCTGCTGTTATTTTGGTCCTGCTGAAATCAATCTGATCGTACTGTACACTAGAACATAACTGTTTATAAAGAGTTCAAGTCCATGCTTTTTAGTGAGAGTTTTATTTCATTTACTCCCACTCCATAAAACTCTCATGCCACTGATTACTAGCTCCCCATCTATATAGCCAAATCAATCCCAATTATCTGAATGGCTGTTTATTGGGAGAGGGGAGTGTGCAGCAGGACATGGGTGTCCTTGTGCGCCAGTCTCTGAAGGTAAGCATGCAGGTGCAGTAGGCAGTAAAGAAGGCAAATGGTATGTTGGCCTTCATTGCGAGGGGTTTCAAGTACAGAAGCAGGGATGTGTTGTTGCAGTTGTACAGGGCTTTGGTGAGACCACACCTGAGGAAGGATGCTGTTGCTATCGAGGGAGTGCAGTGAAGGTTCACCAGGCTGATTCTGGGGATAGCGGGTCTGACATATGAAGAGAGATTGACTAGGTTGGGATTGTTTTCGCTAGAGTTCAGACGAATGAGGGCGGAATCTCATAGAGACTTATAAAACCCTAACAGGACTGGACAGGGTAGATGCAGGGAGGATGTTCCCGATGGTGGGTGTGTCCAGAACCAGGGCTCACAGTATGAGGATTCAGGATAGACGATTTAGGACGGAGATGAGGAGACATTTCTTCATCCAAAGAGTGGTGAGCCTGTGGAATTCATTACCACAGGAAGTAGTTGATGCCAAAATATTGAATATGTTCAAGAGATGACTAGATATAGCACTTGGGGCGAATGGACTCAAAGGTTATGGGGAGAAAGCAGGATTAGGCTATTGAGTTGGACAATCAGCCATGATCGTGAAGAATAGCGGAGCAGGCTTGAAGGGTCGAATGGTCTCCTTCCACTCCTATCTTCTATGTTTCTGTGTTAATTAATCCTCAACCATAAATCCATCAGCTGTTGCCTCATTCCATTAAGTTGCAGGCATTCATTAAGACCTTATTAGATGATAACAGATTCCCTTTTAAATATAATAATTGTGAAAGTAAACAAACAGAATAAAAACACATTATATTCCCAATTTTTTTCTTTACAAATTAAAGTTCTAAGTGTCCTTTTTCTTGTATGTTCAATAGTTTCTTAGAGCTTGCTCCTTTCCTTGTAAAACAACCACAGAACTGATTGCTGCTATCCACCCATTTCAATTTGGAGACCTCTCCATTCTTCAGCATTGGATGTAAAACTCCAATATTGATCGTCATTATTTTTTCATTCGCTTATTTAGTTGAGCATACATTATCCCATGTTGACATCTTACAGATATGACACTCAATGGGTATTGTTGCTGAAATCCCTTTAAGAACTTCTTCCAATAATTTTTTGAACAAAAGTCAAATATCTTTTCATGAGTGAGCATTTCTGTTGCTAAGGAACTTTTTAGGACTCTTCTGATCTTTTCAAATGCCAAGGTATAAGGCAACATTTATCTCCCTTTCTCACAAGAGAAATTATAAACTCTGCTGCACTCAAACTATTGCAGAGGTGTACAAAGCAAGCTTCACTAAAAACAAGAAGTTTGATGTTCCTGGCATCCCTCATGAATGGAAACTTCAGAACTCAAAAATCCTTTTTACAACTTTTTTTGGACCAAATGATTGCCTTGAATACAATGCAAGCTCGGGAAACAGCTCCTCATTTTCTGCTTAGGCACTTTATAGTTCTGAGGGCTCAGTATTGAATTCAATAAATTTAGAAACTGTACAGGCTGGGTGGATTAGCCATGGTAAAAATGAAATTAGGCGGATTGTGTGAGGGGTGGGTCTTGGTGGGCTTCTCTTCGGAGGGTCGTTGCAGACTCGTTGGGCTGAATGGCCTCTTTCTCCATAGGGATTCTATGTAAATGTTAACTCACTTTCTCCATGGTTTTGTTTCTTAATTCATTCATTGGATATGGGCATTGCTGGCTGAACTAACATTTATTGTCCATCCCTAATCACTCATAAGGCAGTTAAGGGTTAAAAAAATTGCTATGGGAGTGGAGTCACATGCAGGCCAGCAGTTTCCTTGCCTGAAGAACACCATCATCACTATCTCTAGTTTTTTTTATTATTCGTTAGCGGAATGAGGGCGTCACTGGCTAGGCCAGCATTTATTGCCCATCCTAGTTAAGAGCCAACCACAACTCTTTCGGTCTGGAGTCAAATGTAGTCCAGACCAGGTAAGGATGGCAATTTCCTTCCCTAAAGGGTATTAGTGAACCAGATGAATTTTTCTAATAATCAACAATGGTCTCATCATCATCATTAGATTCTTAATTCTAGATTTTCATTTAATTCAAAGTCCACCATCTGCCATGACGGGATTCGAACTTGGCTCCCCACACCTGGGTCTCTGGATTAATAATCCACTGATAATACATCTGGTCCATTGCCTACCCTAATGTCCTGTCCCACCAGCAGGACTGACTCACCAGGGCACAGTGGTATACTGTCAGAAGGAGTTGCTCTGGGAGTCTTCAACATGAATCCTCATGAGGTTTTACGGTATCAGATTAAGCATGGGCAAGGACACTTCCTGTTGATTACTACGTACTGTCCACCCTTAGATGATGAAAGTATACTCATATTTAACACCTGAAGGAAGCACTGAGGGTGGCAAGGGCACAGCATGTACTCCAGGTGGGGGATTTCAAAGTTTACATACAAGGTGGCCCAGCAGCAGCGCTACTGATCAAGCTGGTCAGGTCCTAAAGGACAGAACTGCTATACTGGATCTGCGGCAGCTGATGAGGAAACCACCAAGATGGATCTGTCTGTGACCCGTATGGGTAAGAGTGACCACTGCACAATCCTTGTCAAGAAAAGTCTCAACTTTATATTGAGAATACTCTCCATCGTGTTGTGTGGTACTATTATTGTGTTAAATGGTACAGACTTTGAACAGATCTGGCATCTCAAGACTGGACATCCATGAGGGGCTGTCGGCCATTAACAGCAGTAGTATTGTACTCCAATATGTAACCTCATGGCTGGCATATCTCCACCTCAACGAACCATCAAACCAGGAGATCAGCCCTAATTCAATGGAGGGCATGCCAGGAACAGCATCAGGTTTAGCTAGAAAGGAGGTGTCAACTGGTGAAACTATCAAACAGGACTACTTGAATGCCAGACAGCATAAGCAGCAAGTGATAGAGCTCTGTGATCCCAACATCAATGGATTAGATCTAAGGTCTGTCGTCCTGCCACATCTAGTCATGAATGGTTTCAGAGATAGGCTTCGCAGTGGGGTTAAAATTGTTTCAGAGATTTTCTGAAGAAGGGTCTAGGCCCGAAACGTCAGCCTTCCTGCTCCTCTGATGCTGCTTGGCCTGCTGTGTTCATCCAGCTCTACACCTTGTTATCTCTTTTAGTCATGAATGGTGATGCACAATTAAATAACTCACTGGGGAAGGAGGCTCCACAAATATGTCTATCCTCAATGATGGGAGACCTCAGCACATCAGTGCAAAAGATAAGGCTGAAGCATTTGCAGCAATCTTCTGCCAGACGTGCTGCGGGGTTTATCCATCTCAGCTTCCTCCAGTGGTCTCTAGCATTATAGATACCACGCTCCAGCCAATTCTATTCATTCCACATGATATCAAGAAATGTTTGGGGACACTGAAAATACTGTGGGCCCTGATAACATGCTGGCAATAGTGTTGAAGACTTGTGCTTTAGAACTTGCCGCTACATTAGCCAAGCTGTTCCAGTACAGCTTCAACACTGCCATTTACCCAACAATGTGGATAATTGCCCATACACATCCTGTACAATAAAAAAAACAGGACAAATCCATCCTGGTCAAGTTCCATTACATCAATCTACTTATAAAGTGATAGAAGGTGTCATCAACAGCACTATCAAGCAACACCTGCTCACCAGTTTGGGTTCCTCCAGCGCCACTCAAACCCTGGCGTCATTACAGCCTTGGTTCAAACACGGACAAAAGAGCAGAATTCCAGAGGTGAGGTGAGAGGCAGCCCTTGACATCAAGGTTGCAATTGACCGAGTGTGCCATCAAGGAGCCCTAGAAAAACTCAAAACAATGGGAAAACTCTTTACTGATTGGAGTCATAAATGGCACATATGAAGATGGTTGTGATTGTGGGCGGTCAGTCATCTCAGCTCCAGAACGTTTCTGGAAGAGTTTCTCAGGGTAGTGACCTAGGACCAATTATCTTCAGCTGTTTCATCAATCACTTTCCCCCATCATAAGATCAGAAGTAGGGATGTTTGCTTCCGATTGTGCAATATTCAGCACCATTCATGACTCCTCAGATTCTGAAGCAGTCCATGTTTAAATAAAACAAGATCTGGACAATATCCAGGCTTGGGCTGACAAGTGGCAAGTAAAATTCACACCACATAAATGCCAGGCAATGACCATCTCCAATAATAGACAATCTAACCACTCTCTCTTGACATTGAATGGTGTTATCATTACTGAGTCCCTCATTATCAACATCCTGGAGATTATCATTGACACAAAACTCAACTGAACTCTCCATCTAAGTACAGCTGCTACAAAAGCAGGTCACAAGCCAGGAATACTGTGGTGAATAATTCATCTGACTCCCCAAATTCTGAAAGCTGCCACGTATGATGCAGCAAAACATGCAGGGTCTACTTTGTACTGAAGTCAGCCCAATTTTTAACATGACAGACCTTACTGAGAAATACCAAACTCTAGAGGCATTATTTAGGCAATTGAGTTGGATGGTCAGTAAATTCATTATCTACAATAGTGGGATTTGTACCCAGATCTCCAGAACTTTACCTTTAGATTCTTGCTAAGGTGTGTTGACCAGAACTGCACATGATACTCCAGCTATGGCTTAAGCAATATGACTTCAATATGACTTCCCTGCTCTTATAGTCAATAATATAAGTTAATAAAGGCAAACACCACATATTTTTCCAATATTTGGTTCTAATGTCCTACCCCTGATCTTGTACACTATACTTTCCCAGTGGCATTCTCTGCTCTACTTATAATGGTCGTGTATCTCCATTACTTGCCTCTTCTGGTAAATATTTCACTTTAGCACTCACTTT